CAACCACTCTGAATTTTGCCAAGTACTATCTGTGAGTCAGTTAAAAATATTACATTGACAGCACTGCTTATTTGCATTTCACTGCATACGACAATCCAAAGGACAGCGTAATTATGGCTCCCAGTGCTGCTTCTGGAAAGCTTGAATGCCCAACCAGTCCTCTCACTATCTGTGTTGTAGGCACCATCTGTGGCTATGATTGTCTTTAAATAGGTGCTCGCAGGCTTTTCCTGCTTTATCCACTGCCCAATCTTTATTTATTTTATTTTTGTTTAGGCTGACTCCCAAAGATCCGAAGTGCATCAGATGTTTGTTCCACACAGGATCATCTGAGATCAGATGGCAAACAATTATTTCAGTGGTGGCTGTCTGGCACCTGTCCACCTATGACTGGTTCCTAAAGTAACTTTTGCTTTTTTCCTTTGCTTGGCTGGTGTTTGCCGATCATTGTGGAGTTGGACGGAACCAGTTGGAAAGGTCAGTGGCTAGATTGTGCAATGCATGGTTTTTACAATGCGAGGCCCTACTGAAGAATGTTGTTCTATTAAATAGGTGCCTTATAACTTTTCAATCTTATATAGCTGCATGGTGCTCATACTGATCATCATCAGTTAATAATTCAGGATAAAATGAATAAGACTTGGTAGACGTGGTTCTCAGACTTTTCCATGGCCCAAGTATGCTACTCCCTGACCATTTGATCTATTATTATAATGTATCATATAATAATATTTGAAATTGCAAAGAGAACGTGTATATTAAGAGACAGTTTATTTAAATGTCATTTTGCAAAGTTTAAGTATGATCGATCACGCCTGTTCTTGAATTATTAAATACTTTACCAAAACATACACAACAAAGACAGTTTATCCATTTGTTTATAATAGTGCATACTGATCACACTTTTTTAAATTTCAATCTGAATCACAAAAACATTCTTACAGCATGAATAACACTAGGGCCGTGTGCAGCAGTTTAAATCTGATGGGTATTTTATAGCTGGGAACGTTAAACAAAAACATAAATAAACAGAATTACACTAACCAAAATTACCAACTCCGTATGCATAGTTATGGAGGGGGGGGGGGCGTCTGGTCCCTGCTGCTTCCTTGTGCATGCCTCTGAAGAACACAATTTTAACATATGTGATTATTACGTTTCGTACTTTTCATACACGGAATGTGTTAACTGTTGTCAAATGGAATATTCTTTAATGAGTACACTTCGCATATGTCAAATATTTACTAAAGCAATATTTTCTGATGTATGTTCATGCATAAAAATTGTTAAACAAACACTGCAGTAAACTGACATTTTCGATATATATGTAACTGTATACGTTAACGAAATCATCCACTGATATAGAGCATATTGTATTATTTTCGCACGTGTTAACATGATTATTTATGCTTATTGATTGACCACGTTACAGAAATTATTTTCAGGTTTATGCAACTTTTTTCATTCGAGAGATCACCAGATTCTAACCGAGTTATTCATAAAATCAGATCTACTGATGCAATGTCTACAACGTTTACATTTAAATTTATGATTATAATCCTACACTATCACAATGTACAATTGTACTCGTAGAGACCACGGTAACAGGCGCAGACATGTTTATCACTGACAGTGATATTAAAATGCCACACTACTGAAGGATCAAAGTTTACATTTTGTTCTTACATAATCTTGCTTATTACATTAAATAAAAAACTGCAACTAAGTTGAATTTTTATTAAAACTACTCGCATTATGTTTATTCTTTTATGGTTCTTGTATTTATACACAATGAGAAACAACAATAATTCCCAAAATATTACCCAGATATCCAATGCATTAAACTGTAGATTATTGGGTAAACATTATGTATTGTTATTTACTGACACAAGTTCAAACTTTCATGGATAACAAAAAGCGCCATCTTTCCGGAAACCCTTACATAAGTTATAGTTATTCAATGAAGCTTTCCGTATTTCAATATTTTTTAATTCGTTTTTTTACCAAACTTATTATCTACAAATTAATAATATTATACAATACCATCCATACTTTGATTTGTGCGGATTTTCCTTAACCTGTTTTGGTTTGTTATTGTTAGGCGCAAAGCTACACAATGAGCTAACTTACTGTGGCCACAATGGGTATCGAAACCCAATTTTTAGCGTTGATTTTTCACAATTACCACTGAGCCACTAAGGGCCCTTTAACTGTCACTGGTGATATTTTACCCGCTTCTTCAAGATATCACCTGTCAACGAACCCTGCTCAAGTTGTACTATAGATCACGATGTTGTGTGCTATAGGCAATGCTTAGTGATGTATATATATATATTTCTTTATCAACTAAATCAAAATTACACAACAAATAACTTATTAAAACAGGAACCAGCCCTAAAATGACTACATGTTTCGGTGTTTTTATGCCACCATCTGTACGCAGCTCAAGCTCTATTACATGGAATCCTTGCCTCCTCTGGTTCATGAATTCAGCTTGGGCTTCATTTTGTACTTCTTATACTTTATCAGTATTACTAGTATGGGTGATCCTTTATAGCAGAAGTTGTTGCCTTCACTTTGCTCAATGGTGGAGAAATGCTTGAGGGTATAAGCACACCCAGAAAGCTTGACATCCTTGTATGTGCTTCTAGACTGTTTTATACTACTACATCTCCCAGTTTTCATGCTCACCTCACACAAGATGACCACTGCTGACCTCTATGCTCTATGAGTTTAGTAGTACAAGGTTGGTGGTAATACTGTAGAGAGCAGAATGTAAACCGCTGCCATTAAAATTTCCACCCACATTTCAGGTGGAGTGTCTGGCATTGAAGTATCCTACTACTGGCTACACAAGTGTGTTATCAGACAGGTCAGACAGGAACCTCCAATTTTCAGCATGGTATACTGTGGTTACCTTTTGTGTGATACAGGTGTGGTTAATCTCACGTGCACTAACTGGATTGTTCATAAAGAGCTATCATAATGTTCATAGCAGATGTTTCTGTCATCTCAAAATGCAATAGCCATCCCAGCCTCTGTGTCAAAATGTGTACTCATCATGGCCTAAGAATTTAATCTCTTGAATGAGTACAATGTCTAAAATTCAGAGAGCTTCTCAAAGCAGTATTTACTTCCCTTGATCTCCAGGACATTCCACACATGCATTGTGTTTAAGCTTCTGTTTCCATCCCAATCTTGCTGGTAAGTGCAAGTGGCCCCATGCTGAATACATGAGCACTACTGTTCCTGTGGGAACTCGTTTGGGTGATATGTATTAACTAGCAAACTTGCGAAACATATGTGGTCAAATTAGTATCTTTATTGCAACATTACTTCTTTAAACATAGAATCATAGGCCTAAACCATGATTGATCATATTTTCAGTTAACTAACTTAACAGGAAGCAAACAAATGATGTATCAGAACTTTCAGTTTCATAAATGGCAGCTCCTGGGATCCTGAGGGGGCTAGGATCACAAAATTTGATGTCAGGCTCTAGTTCAGCAACCCTGCAAATCTATTCCTATACCCCCATGACGTCTAGATGACCTTCCAGGGGCATTTTATCCCCCTTAGGGGGGGGGGGGGTAGCTATCCCATATAGAAAAATATATCTTTCAAGTCACCTCAAATCCAACTTCCACACGTGGTCCCATTAGCTCCAAGACTGTGAGAGGAATTTGTGGACAAACTAACAAATTCATAAACACACAATATGAATTAATATAAAAGATGTACAAGTTGATGGTTGGCAACTGTAAACTATGTTTCTGCAGAAAGAGATACTGATTTTTTATTTTCTTCTTCTTCCAAACTTTTCAATCAACCACCATTTCTTTGTATTGATAGATTGACTTGAAATTTGATAGGGATATACCTTGGTCCAATATGCAAAGATCCCTTTTTCATTCTATGGCCTTTTTAAGGATTGTATGGGGTCAAAGGTCAAACAACCCAAAAATGTATATTTTGAGATCCTGTGCAGTAATATTTACAGCAATCAAGATTGAAATTGGCACAAATATAAATGTTCATGCACCCAACACATTGACATACAAAAAAAGTTGAATTTGTCCACAAAAAAGCATAATTCTGGGGTCAATTACTCGGCTATATTTTAGCCAATTTACACGGGATTTGCTACAAATATACTTTATTTATTTACAAATATATAGTAATTATAGAGGGGTTAAGATGCTACAAAAAGCATAATTTTAGGATGTGAAACATCATTTCATCCATTTGCATGGGATTTGGTACAAAGTTACTTTTTTTTATACGTCCCAAGCTGAGATATAGACAATTTTGGAATTTTCTTCTTTTGCTCAATTTTTCAGTGAGGAAAGCACAATTTGGAGTTTTGTGAACCATACATGGGATTTGGTACAAAGGTACTTACTTACCAATATGGACAGTTTTAAATTTTTCTGTTTTTTCATGATTTTTCTGGTGTCCTATGTTCGGATTGCATAGTGTAGACATGTTGCATTCACTCACAAATGATGATCTCTTTAATTAAATGTACATCTAATCATTTGATAAATTAGTACTTATTAATAAAGCTAAAAAAATCCCTCACAAGAACTTGTAAAACATTATAAAATATTTAATTTTTTTTCTTTCAGAGTATTGCAAAATCTTGAGATTACATGCAGGATGATATGCAAGGCACAAATGTCTAATGACAGTCCCAGAGACACTGTGTTGCACCATTTAGTCACCAGAGGGTTATTCAGTAATTTCAACTTCGGAATCGTTTCCCTAATCTGTCAGGGTGCTTGGTAACAAAAGCAGTAGTGGTGTCACTGTTAAGCCAATTTTTGCAATAAAGCAAAATTAGCTTAAAATGTAATCAATTTTATTTAAAGCAGGAAGGTAAATGAGATAAATATGTATATGACTTATTCATTTTAGCTTCATGGCATGTTGTTTAGCATTGTTGTGTTGAATAATGTTAAATTTCTCTAACACAACAAACCAGACACTTAACACTCAAGACAATGAACAAAAGTATTTAACATCTGTGATGTAAAATGAATCTTGGATCAAAATATATTCTCCAATGACTTTAATATCATCTACAAAGAATATATAATTTATGAGACAAGGTCATTAATATTTGTTTTTTTCTACATTCACACAGATTATTTATAATTATATTTCAAATGGTCTTACATGCTCTCCCACATCGTTATTATCACATATACTTTACAGTTTCGGGCTTTTATCTTCTGCATTTTTTGGTCTATCTTTTATTGGACAATAAATACAAAAACAATTTAAATTAAAATTCACTGGCTGCAAAAGTATAAAATAATTATCAACATGTCAAAAATTAAATAACAGAACTAGACTGGACTTCTTTGGAGGATACGTAACTGATCTTATAAAGAAAATTACAGATTATCATTATCAGTGTAAAGAACTTTATTAATCTCAGAGAAATAAAATTTTATTCCTAAAAAATTTTTCAGACATTAAAAATGAACAATAAAAAGAATACTTTTAAACCAATTGTAGAATAGTTTCAATTACATCGTGATATAATTCATTTAAAATATCACAAATTTTACCCAAACCTTTAGAAATTAATACACTGCAAACAAGTGTGGATGAACAAACTAAATATAATCCTACAAGAGGTTTGAAAAAAAAAGGTGAGATTTTGATATGCTACTTCCAGTGTGTTAACTATTACTTTAGACAGCAAAATTCTTTATGCAAATACCAGTGAATGAATCACACACACACATAAAGAAAAAACATCTGACTTAACAGCATTTCTAAAGTCAACAGTGTATTTAACAGAGAACTATTAAGCTTTGATTGTACAGCATTATCATGTACTTTTAAACAGTAGTGTGTTAATCTGAATAACTGACTTGTTTTTTCGTTCACAGACTAGAGCAACACATCAGCAAATAATAAATGGAACTATTACTCTTTTAGTACTCAACTGAGTAGTTTGACACTTAAGTGACAGTTCATCACATCAAGAAAACAAAAACAGGCAGAAACATAAGTTTTTAAGGGAGAAAAATGAATATGCTTTAGTCTTATTTATGCATGTTAAAATATTGTGGAAAAAATTTAAAACAAATTAAAATATATATATATGTGTGCCAATTATATCTTTTTGTTTTATAATTTAAGAAAAAATAAATGTGATGAAATCCTTGTGTATGCAGTGGTTCTGTTCAATGACCACCTGAATTTTCTTTTATCACGGCAAATCACAGAGAGAGATCTATACACTATTCTGCTGCTTACTTTCTTTAATTACAGACCACCTGAAGGGAGCCCACAGATTGAGAACCACCACTCTATTATATTATTGGGACCAGTTCTTTAAACCTGAAGTAATTTCTGACTGTTATAAAACATCTAAACATTTGTAACAAAATAACACATACAGGGAAGAAAAGGCATGTGATCTATGTTTAATCACAAGACAAAAACATACTTCTATCACTTCTGTCATCAAAATTATGAATGATTGAGACAATTGGAATTACTAGTGTAGTGATTTCACCCTTGGTGCCTACTATACCATTGCCAATACTAAACTTAAACCATTAAAAAGGTTAGTTTACCCACTTTTTTACCGTTACAGCACTATTTAACCTTGTGGGAGACTGCAGCTGATAACTGTGTTATAATAACTGCTATATTATGGGAAGACTATTAATAATAACATCAACACGTGAGCCTCTCTGATGTAACACACAAAAGTGCTTTGGTGATTAAATTTCATGCAAAATTTACGTTTCTCACTTTAAACAGTTTCTATCTGCAAGTCAAAAACTTCTTCGTTCCTCTCAACGGAATAGAAGATAGCATGCAGCATTATGAAAAAGAAGGAAGCACCTGTTGAAGAAACAACAACAACAAATATATATATATATACTATAGCAATATTTGCTATATTTTTCAAAACAGCCTGCATCTACTCTTAAGTGTTTTACTTTGAAAATGAACTTCAGAGGTATTGGACGTTTTAAGACAAAGAATATACTTATAAAAGTACATAGCTAAAGTAGGGGATTTTATTACCATTACAATAAATTTTACATATGTGTATCCATTTTGTGCAATCAACATTAATAAATTTCTGTAACAACTGTAACAAACAAGTAACAAAATATATGCTTCTACAAAATTTTGAATTTTTGCTTTATAATTTATCAAGACTCAGTGCTTTTATTGGCTAGAATCAAACACATGCATCATTAGTCATTACTATCACTAAATATAACTGTAGTTATAACAATATTATTACTAAAGTAGTAATGGAAATTTCAACACAGTCTACCACGGAGGGCTTGGTTATATGAACACGTCTCATAAAAACATTCATGACTTTCATGTAGTTTTCTCAGTTCAAATTACACTAATACTTTCAGTTTTCTGCATTTTCTTCATATACCTATTTGATCTAGCTTTAAAACACTTAAGATTTGTGAATCAGTTTGTCACAGCATTTTCTGCTACCTTCACAAACACAGCACTCATTTAAAGCTACAGGCTCATAGATTATTGCTACAATGTGTTTTACAGTTCAAATTTTGATACTTTTCAAAATTTAACAAGAACTTTAAAACTTACCTAAAACCCAAAAGACTGCTGAGCCCGCACCAGCCATGTAGAACAAAGGAAATGAAATCACAGACACAATTCCATACTGTTGAGCAAGAGTCAACTCATGGCCTATAACAAAAACAACAATTAAATATGAATAGTTCATGAAAATTTCAAGAATGTCTTTATCCAGTAAACCTAAGAATAATAAAACAAAAATGTGAATTAATTAATTCAGAAATTAGATGAAAAAAATCATTAACATCACATTTGTTTCTGGCTAGGCTTCAAAATATATACAAATATAATAGATAAAAAACAGCTTCAAGTATAGGAACACAAATAAGATATTTTTGAGAAATGGTTTATAGCTGATTTCACCAGTATCTAGTAATAAACTAGTACATATATAATAATATTAAGGATTTAATGAACTATTTGATTTACACTTTTTTAAATTCAAAATATATAAAAGCAGTGATATAAGAGTTGTTTTGAAGTTTGGTTGTTTATTTCTGATTCAAGAATTTTCTTACCAAAAATATGAAATCTGTGCTCTGCATTTCTCAAACTGATAATATAACAAGCACCAAGACTCACTGCAACAGCGATCAGTAGCAGTGGAGAAGTTAGGCTGGAATAACAAGATGGATGGTGTCTATTAAAGAATACTTAATCTAATTGTGAAGCAACTAAAAATTTAAAACCACATGAAAAATGGCCTTCGATATCTGATAATGTAAGAAACTCTCAAAAAAAAGTAAGCTTGTCTGCAGCACTAACATTTCAGTAACAATATACGTTAATCATTAGTAAAAAAATACAAGTTAACCTCCATAAATAACATTAACCACAAAAAACAGAAACATATAACACAATATTTTCCACAAATACATTTCATATCACAAAATCTTACCATATGTAATGCTAAATAATTAATACTATTAATAGGTAATACAGGAAGTATGATACTTATCACAATGTGACTGATAGTACATTAATCACATCATTACTTACAGCTCAAATATGGGCTTTAAATATGAAATACATACATTAACATTCTATTGTATGCCACTGTTAACCTTACATGCTTGGGTAGGGGTAAAAGTATGCATACCACAACATTTTACAGCATGCCATTCAACATGATATTATGTATTTAATGTTCGAGTTACTAACAATTCACTTTACCCTACATTGCTGATTTAGTAATAGTTTATGGTAGAGGAGAGTAAATACAAGATACAATATACAGGGAGATACTGAAAAAAATTGATGATATGCATTTTGCATATTCTACAGGTTATGTAATTGAAATATGTAAATTGTATGAAGAATAATAACATCACCTTGCACTCCAACTTGTCAAAATGCGAGTCAGACTGATGTTGCTAATTCACATACATATCTTGATTTACGTTTGTAACACATCTGTTTTTTTTGTATTAAACATATTTATATATTTCACTAAAAGCTTTTCACATTTTATGTAGATATACATAGTAAATGTGGAATTACAGTTAATGCTCCTTCTCTAATATCGACCAGACAGACCCCCGGTTAACTGCAAAGTCAAAATGAAGGGGTCATTAATCAAATGTGCAACTCCTTCTCTAATATCGACCAGACAGACCCCGTGCACATTTGATTAATGACCCCTTCATTTTAGCCATCGTTCTTCATGAATGAATGCCATATATAACATTTCAAATAAGATGTTATAGCACAGCTAGTCTAATAAACTCTGATATAAAGCACAAGTATTTTAATACTATCAATAAACTACTCTTTTCAGAAACTCATACTGGGAAAAATGACACAGGTAAAATTATTATCAGGTTTGTAGTGAGGTACATCAAATATCACAAAGTATTGTTGAGCAATAGTCTTGTTGTAATTCCCCTTTGGGTATTTCACCAACAATGACCAAAACAGAAATTTCTCATATTATTTACTCTCCTCTACCTTCATTATAATTCAATATTTCTGTTGAATTTCAAGTAAAAATTCCATTCAGTATCAACAGGAAATAAAACTACGTTAAGGCCATGTTGAATAGAAAAAACGTTTCTAGCAAAATACACAAACATTTTTAATCCTTAACATATATATATATATATATATCAATCTGTAGTTATAAAAATAAAAATAATATACATTGTATGCTCTAAGTTACTTTTCCCATTCCAGCTTTAATTTTACTTACATGGTTTGAAGTATCTTATTGTAAACAATATTGAATTACTTTTATCTAAAGTACTGCACATATAAACACTATTATAAACTGATCAAAACATTTCTTTTTAATTTTTGAAAATCAAGGCTGCATTCTGTTCTATAATATGGTCCAGATAATTTATGAATATATGTAGACATGTGTTTGGGTGGAATGATATTTGTTGACTAGTTATATTTATTCATTTGAACCTGTTAGGCTAGCTAGAGTAAATAGACTGAATAAATAAAGTACAGCATAGCCAAGCAGTATTTAACAGATATGAAATCAAAGCTGTATTTACTAGCACTAATATTGAAGATATAAATAGAAGTTTCTACACAATGACTTTTTTACTGAAAAGCTTAACATGTGAATTTATTTTAATTTCACTCCACTATAAATAGCAGCAAACAACAACTGTGTATAAATATTTACATATTATTGACTACAGTTAATAAACAATCACACATACTTAAACCATTTATATTTGAAAGGTTTCCTCTTGTTTAACTTCTATAACTCCCTAAAGCAAATTAGGGATTGAATGATAATTACTTTATTTACTTACATAAAGTATGGGAAATCCTTAATTAGCCATTAGTATCAAATGCTTAATATTTTCAAAAATTTGCATATAACCTCTACAGTCGTGTTTTCCACAAGCAAATAGCTTGTGAAATCACTAATTTAATAAACTAATCTGAGCCGCCACTGTTCTTATTACAAATTCATAAAATTTTATTTCATTATATATGTAATTAAAAACCTCCACTGTTCTTGTGAGTAAGCTTAATTATCTGTACATTTACTTATAGAAAATATGTTAATTTTAGCTTGAAAGACATAATGACAAATATATGAACCTTACAGGCAGTATAAAATAAGCACAATAAACACAAAAAAATAGTTGCTCTGGAATTGTTCAATATTTTTCACAACTCTTTTGGTGCTCTGAGACATGGATGAAGGCATCTTGAGCTTCCGCATATCGAAGAAGGAATTCCATGGTTGAATGTTTTCTCGTGTTTTTTGCAGCCATTCCCGGGAACTAGAGCTTAGGGCCATACCCCTTCAAAAGGAGTAATAAGTCATTTCAAAAAAGGAACATAAGTAATACATTATTCACAATATAAATCATCTTCAATTATCAGGTATTTGAAATGATACTTAACACTAAAAGACAGAATCTATTCAGAGATTCTTGGTGTATACGTGTGTGAATGATTTGTCAAGTTCAGGAACATGTTTGTTTGTGAAGATACATGTCGATTAAATAGAAATAATGTGTCTCGAATGAACTGTAACATACACGGTTTTGATAATAATGTTGATGAAAGGAAAGGCTAACTATTACTTTATATGATATTTCCTTAGTAGTTTTATCAGAAAAACACAGATAGCCTTTTCAAAAGTTTTTCCTTGGGTCAGAAGTGGACAAAAACTCTAAAACATGACACAAATTTTAAATGAGTAATTAGCAGGTACGTGTGCCAAGGATGAGGTACATATATGAAGTTAAATATGTGGAACATATTTAACTGTATGGAAAAAACTATATGTCAAAGAAAGCTTACACTCAATTTTGGAAGCAAAGTATTTGAAGAAGTTCTAAAAGACATTATGAGAATTGCTTATACTGATTTTTTAACATAAGGGAATCTCTGATACATTGAGTGGAAATAAATTGAAGGAAATTTTAATATAAACGTTTTCTTTTATTGTAATATTAGAAAATTCTGTATCATGATTCCCAAATTGGAGGCTTTCTTAAATTTTAGGGAAACTATTATGAGGGCTGAGAAGGATGTGACTTTACACAGTATTTTTAGTAGTCATGTAAAATTAGTACAGTAGAGAGTGTAACAAATTTGCTGTTATATATTTATTTTAATGTCAATGTTTGTTTGGATTGAGTTTATATGTAAAACA